TAGGAATGAACGACATCCTTCTTCACTCACCCCCTCCCCAATACTGAAGTCAATTGGACCCCCAGCTCCTCTTGCTGCCCCCTCCCCAATACTGGGTCCTTAATTGACCCCCACACACTGCTGCCCACCCCAACCCCCCAGTTTAAGGGATGACTGGATCCCGGGGAACCCTTCTTCCCCCCCCCCCCCACAATAGGGGGTGCGTTGGGCGACGACGGGACCCCCTTCCTTTCCCCACTTACCTACCACAAAGCAGAGGCCTCCCTGGACACGCCCCCTTCTCCCTGATTCGCCCCGCGACACTGTCCCTCTCCGGGAAGGCGGAGTAACGCCCGCCACGCCCAGAGAGCCTCCGCTCGTGATTGGTTCCCTCGCTCGGCTCTTTCCCGCCCGTGGCCGCCCTCGCCCAACCTGGGCGCGGCCGGGAGATGAAAGGGGATCGAGGCTGGGCCCCGCCTGCTCTTTCTCTCGATTGGCCGGCTTGACGCTGGCCGGGGCGTTCTGATTGGAGGAGGCGCGCGGAGACGCCGAGGCTTCTCAGCGTCGGCGGCCCAGCAGAGGGTCCTCCCATAAATGATGGTTGGCGGAAGGAGGCGGGATTTGGGTTTCCCTGGTTACCAGGTGGAGAGGAGGGGGCTTTTATGCAAATGTGAAAATTATGCAAATTGAGGATGAGGATGATTTAATGGTTTTTAAAAAAAATCTTAAATTAAACTGCAAGATTAAAAAGGCCTTTTCATTGTAATTAGGATGGTTTGTAATTTATTATTTTTTTTAACCCTGGTGACTTTGAATAAAAGGAAATAAAGTTGAATTAAAGACATTTGAATTAAATTCAATCATTTATATTTTAATTGCAGCGGTTCATGCAATTAATTTAATTTACTGTCTTAAACAAAAGTCCTTCTGGGGCTCCCATTTCAATATCTTTTTGTATTTGTATTGCAAAACAGATGCAAATATATATATATCATGTTAAGATCATGGCATCCGGCCCTCTCAACTCCCGGCAAATAGATGGGGAAGAAATGGAGGTAGGGACCAATTTTATTTTCGTGGCCTCCAAGATCACCACAGATGGGGACGACAGCCAAGGAATTAAAAGAGGTTTGTTCCTGGGGAGGAAAGCACTGGCAAATCTAGACAGCATCCTAAAAAGCAGAGACATCGCCCTGCCAATCAAAAGGGC